GGGGGGCAGTTCTCTGTTCTGCAACTGCACTTCCCCCCACCAGATCCACTCCGTCCCCCCACACAGCACACACAGACTGCCTGTCACAGTCTGTGTGTGCTGCCCAACAGACTTAACAGATTGTGACAATGACAGACTTTGTCACAGTCTGTGACAGTCAGTCCGTTGGGCAGCACACACAGATTGTGACAGACAGTCCATTGGGCAGCACACATAGACTGTGCCCAACAGTATGTGTGACAGACTGTCTGTCACAGTCTGTGTGACCGACAGTCTGTCACAATCTAGTGGGCACAGTCTGTCCCAGCCCGGAAGTCTGAATCCAAGTACACGGGATTCTCCCGGTACCGTCACGCGGCCTGCACGAGCCTCTTTAACCAACCGGCGCGTAACTGTCTGGGGCCGAAACAGATTTGCAAGATTGACAAATGCACGGCCTTGTGAAATTCAGGGCCCGCCTTCACTTAGGGCGGGCGCGAATTGACTGCCGCGGGCCGGTGGCCTCGCATTCCCTCGTCCCTACTTCGATAGTCCTCTGAGAAGTCTCACTCCATCTGGAGCTTTCCTTTCTGGAAGGACTTCTCATATTGAGATACCACCTGAGGTGCAGTCTGCATGAGCTCCTCCCTCATGAAGAGTCTGTGTGCTGCCCCCCCGACAAACTTTCAGTCACTGTCTGTGTGTGCTGCCCCCCCCAACAGGCACACATATGTGGCAGCACACACACACACACTGTGACAGACTCTTTGACGCACACACACAGACTGTGACAGCCCGTCACAGACGATTTGACACACACACACGCAGACCGTTTGACACACACACATAGACTGATCGACACACACATACAGACTGATCGACTCACACATACAGATTGTGACAGACTGTCACAGACTGTTTCACACACACACACACAGATTGTTCGACACACTCATACACAAGACTGTGACAGACTATTCGACGCACTCACACATGGACTGTTTGACACACACCCGCACACACACACAGACTGTTTAACACACACAGACTGTTTGACACACACAGACTGTTTGACACACGGACTGTTTGACACACACCCGCACACACACAGACTGTTTGACACACTCATACACAAGACTGTGACAGACTGTGACAGACTGTTCAACCACCC